ATATATATATATATATATATATATATATAATTGCAACCCCTTTAATTGTAACCTCGTAACCTCGTATTGTTTTCTTCATCTTCACTACATGTAGTGGGTAAAAAATGTCACACATTTTTTTGAGGTGATTTCTTTCTGCATAGAAGCCAAAGAAAGAGATAGAGAAGAAGGACAAAGTTGTGCCAAACTAGGTTACTCACATTCCTTCATATTTTCTTATCCTGACATGTTACTATCTAATATTCATAAATCCTAAATCTTAAATAATAATATTTTCGTTCAAGATATTTCTGGAGTTTATGTATGTTTGTCTTATTTAATTGAATTTCAAGTTTTCACTATTTATTTTTATAAATTACATCACGTTTAACATCTATTTCTATTGAGATTTTGTAGTTTGCAAAGAGAGCTGTCTCATCAAAATTTAGTCAAATACTTAAGCATTGCTACATCTAATATTGTTTATAATTCAATCGTTACTAAGGTCAAGTGTCTCTTTCTCATATATGGGTTCAAAATGGACCAATGAATACAAATAACAAAATTATTATGAGATGACACATGAGTTTTAATTTATGAAATTATACTTTTATTTATAAAAATATGCAAAAAAATTATTTAGTTATTTTAAAATAAAGAAAACTTATTTTACTAATTTTATTAAATAAATTATTTTTTATTTATTAAAAGATAAAATTGTCTGATAGAAAGATCACACCAAAAAAAGTATATCCTCTTTTATAGAATGATAAAGATGGGTATTATGTTAGAAAAATTGGTAAAATAAACAAGATTACTTAAAAATTGTAGTGTTTGCGTGTTATAAGAAAATGGTTCTATTATGAAATCAGTTTAGAGTTGTGTAAGTTATCTTCATATTCCAAATTATTTCAAAAAGACAATACGAATAAAATAATTTTTGTTTCTATCACAGAGACAACATATGTTTTAGTGATTTACGATAACAATTTTTATCTTCTTAGTGAAAAGAAACCCAAAAACAGTTTTGTAAGTAATATATGATAACGTGTTATTACTGTTGTAACATTCCAAAAATATAGCTTAAAACTATATACAGGTGTCAACAACTATATACAGGTGTCAACAAATAATAATATGATAGAACAGTTACTGTATTAATAAAGTTAAACTTATAGTTATTATAAAATAACCATAAAATTTTAAAACTTTACAAAAGCTTCCTATACTGCTCCAAAAACTACACAAATAACCGAACGGTTATATTTTCAGAACGAAACTGGTGATCGAACGGTTTACCTAAAACTATCCACACTATTATGACCGAACGGTCATGACCTATTTAGCAGGAGTCTCGTCGCCCATCTCCTGTTCCAGTGTAAACTATTCCCCTTCTACTCACATTAAAAAAGGATGATCATTGCAAGAGAAAACCGAACGGTAACATGGACAAAACAGGAAATAAGGGTAAGCTACTAAAATTTAATTAGACATGCATACATACAATTCATTCAATTACAAACCATACAAAGCCGAACACTATAGCATACCAAAATCAAAGCAAATAGACATATACAAATTTAACCCTATAATACACGCACAAACCGAACACCTGATTTGACCATCCGGATTGTATGAATGTGTAGCTTGAGGTCGTTCATGCACTCGGGTGGTGTAGTAACTGGAAAACCATCAGCTTTCACCCGAGGTTTTTCTGTTATTACTCACTCAAGAACCTATGGGCTATGACCTCCTTCCATTCTCATACAATGCATTACCCATCTCTACTTGAGAATTAGTAATCATCAGAATATCAGGATGAACTCTGTGAATTTTACTATCCATATTCATACTTTACTATATCAATACACATTTCACTGAGACATTCCTCCTTGGAATTCTCTTTCACATTACATGAAACAAATACCTTACTTCCATATAATTATCTCAAATAATCAGAGCCACACTTTGAAAATATTATTTAAATATAAAATAATCATTCATAGAAGGAAACCGAACGGTAACAATACAACCCCTGAATACGACCGAACGGAAACTCACTAACTATTACAAAACCGAACACTAGAGCTTAGACCGAACACTTATGATTTAACTGAACCCTTGGTGTAAGACCGAACAATATTTAGCTATTCACAAATCAGGACCGAACGATATTCAACTATCCACAAAACAAGACCGAACGATATTTCACTAAGTAAGAATGAGAAATATCTGACTACTAGAACCAACTAAGATACTACCACGAAACCGAACGGTATAACCTAAGATGAATAATAACAACATAATCCGAACACTTAGGATTACTTCTACAAACTATTCCTCAAACCTAATACTTTTAAGGAAACCAAACGTTAAAACATTACGACTGAATTATACACAAAAACTTGTATCCGATTATAAACCAACGTATTTTAAGCCTAGTACAAGGACGAGATCTAACACTAATATAGGAACTATCACTAACAAGAGTACCCAATCCGGTAAGACTGATCATTAATACATAATCATAAACACTTAAGATACCAATCACTCACCTAAAAATCGAGCGGTCATGCACTGGTAAGACTAAAATGCTAACTCTATTGATAAATTATTAACTGACCATGACCAAACGGTCGAGACCGAACACACAGCTTTTCTGCATAATTCTGTAGAACTATTATAGACTCATACAGAACCACTAAAACCCAGAAACATACATTTCATACCATCATATATAAATCATCAAGTCCATTCATTCCATACATAAACAGAATCATCACACACACAATTAAATTAAATAGCTTCCCTTACCTCTTAACAGAAGAAACGTTCACCACATAGAAATTTGCCCAACACCAAAACTCTCAAAAGCTAAGATTTACTGCAAACAGACCAACCACAAGGCCAGAAACGTGATCAAAATCTTAGAAGAAGAAGAAAATAAACACATGCAAACAAAAACTGAGTTTGCATGTGCTCAAAACTAAACTTTCTTAGAAGTAGAAAGACCTACCAGCTCAAACCACCACTTGACCGATTGAAAAGAGAACCTTTGCCACCAGCCAACTTCAAACACAATCTGATGAATGATCGGCTGAAGGAAACGTGAGAATCAGTGGAGGAAAAGATGATAGTTTAGAGAGAAGTTAGAGAGAGAAGGATGAGAAAATGAGAGTTCAGAAAGTTGGGAAAGAAAATGCATGTAGAAAGTGGCACCAGATTTAAAACTTTTACTTAAATACTACCGTCAAAACCGATCGGTCCACTCTGCTGCTCTCACCTGTCTTTCACTTTATGAATTTCTAAATTTTCACCCTTTCATCTGACTTCCATTTTCTCTACAGAATTTAAGTGTTCTGACAAGTGTAATTGGCAACACCAAAATTGTTGCTTATCTTGTCGATAACCCTTTTTAAAAAGAAATATTTGAAAAAATAAATAAAATCAACAGCTAATGGTAGAAAAATATTCTTTTATATATGAAAAATATTTATTAATTAAAATGAACGGATCATTTAGGATATAAATCCAGAAGTGATGGAAAGAAAAATTCCTCATATTTAATTCACTTGACAAAAATGTCATACAAATCACCATCAACTTATTGAATTCACACCGATTTCACGAAAAATTTACTTTTTTTTATGGATTTATAGTTAATTACGTAATTTAAAAATAATGTAACCTTTTACATCATATTATTATAAGAATATATATATATATATATATATATATATATATATATATATATATAAAACGAGAAATAGATAAACAAAAGTATTGGGTGTCTTAAAAAAGAAGAAAAAAATAAGTATACATTGAAGTTTCTTTTATGTTGTTATTCATTTTATTAGTAAAGAGAATATTTGACTGTTGATTCTTCAAAACTCTAAGATAATTTGTGAGTCCTTAATTACTAGATCCCTTGGATTTTTCCTTCATATTGAGTTTTTTCCATAACAAGTTTTTATGTCTATTAAGTTCAATCTTTTCTATTTTGTACATCTCATTGTTTTTATATATTATTTATATAAGAAAGAATTATCCAGATTTTGCTTCCATTTATTATTTGCTAGTTTTTCTATCTTCCCAACAAAAGTTATCTTGAAATTAAGAAGTAAAACACATTAAAATAAGGACATATAAATTGGATTTTTCTTATAAAAAATAAATATGATTAATTAAAATAATAATTCATAATAAAGTTAAAATATTTAATCTATAAATAAATTTTTTTTTATATAGAATTATTAGTTCAAAAATATTAGTAATGTTAGGATAATTTCATATTTTATATCTACCTTTAACTAATATAATAAATCTAACAATTAATAGTATTCTTAACTTTACATTTAATACATTTATACTTTATATCTACCTTTAAATAATATAATAAATATAACAATTAATACTATTCTTAACTTTACATTTAATACATTTATTCATAGCAGTTAACGCCCTACTGAATATAATTTTTATTGAACATCAAATACTGGAGTGCAAGGTGAACTATTAGCAAGAAATTGACAGAATCCTGAAGAGATGATTAATACATTGATCTTTGTTTTGTGTTTGGTGAGCAGCGGTGTTAGTCCTATAGTTTATGGTATCGAAAATATATTCAAAGAAGATTTGGAGCTAGACCGACAACTAAAGCTCATTAACAAACCTCCTGTCAAAACTATTCATGTATTTATATTCTTCTTATATACATTAACTTACAATTTCGTTTACTGAATCCAATCTCATTATATTGACTAATAATTTCTTTTTTTATTATATTTTATAGACAGAACATGGAGACATTGTTGATTGTATTGATATTAACAAACAACCTGCCTTTGATCATCCTTTGCTTAAGAATCATAAACTTCAGGTGTATAATTAATAATTTTAAATATGTAGAAATTTTCAACATTTTTTTCAATGCACTTGTAATTTTAATATTTATTTGTGTTGTTTAATTGCAGGAAAAACCTAACTTTCAAAGACCAATTGGAAAAATAAGTGGGAAAAAATTATCGGATAGATCTATGTTTGGATTTGATAAACACCATTGTTATAAAGGGACAGTTCCTATTCTCAGAACAACAAAAGAAGATCTCATTAGAGAAAAAAATTTATTAAATAATAGTATTTTCGTTAAAGATATTTCCGGTGTTCATGTATGTTGTCTTCTTCTATTGAATTTCAAATTTTCATGATTTATTTTTATAAATTACATCATGTTTAACATCTATTTGAATCTATTGAACTTTTGTAGCTTGCAGAGATAGCTGTCTCATCAAAATTTGGTCCATACTTCAGCATTAATGCAAATAATATTGTTTATAATCCAACTGTCACTAAGGGTCAAATGTCTCTTTCTCATATATGGGTTCAAAATGGACCAATAAATACAAATAATAAAATTAGTATGGGATGGCATGTAAGTTTTAATTTATGAAATTATACTTTTATTTATAAAAGTATGCAAAAAAAATTATGTAATCTTTATTAGTGTAATGATATACAAAAATTATTTATTTAATATAAAGTTTTGGTACAGGTGTCTCCGGAATTGTATGGTGACTATGATACCCACGAGTATGCAACATGGACGGTATGAAAATAAATAGTAACTTCCTTTGTATATATACATATATATTTACTTATCTTGTAGAAATGAACTACATAATAAACTTATTTATATGAAAATCAAATGTTTCCATTTCACATAATTCGTTTTTACTTTATGTTAACATAGACAGCATTTGTATAAAAAAGCAAAAGAAACATGAATCCTTCACTTCTAAGAGAAAGTTAGTGTGATGTTAAAAAATATGCAGTCAGATAATTATCATAGGACGGGATGCTTCAACCTAAGATGTCCAGGTTTTGTTCAAACTCATAGTGGATTGCATCTTGGTAAACGTTTCACAAATGTATCATTCTACGGTGGACCACTTTATTCTTTTCGTAGTTCTATCAGTCAGGTGATGTTCTTGCTATAAATTTTCATGTAATATTGTAATATAGATGGAATTAGGGAATATTTCTTAACAAAAATTCGTCTACATTCATTTTCAGGATCCATTGACTAAAAACTGGTGGGTAGGTATACAAGATTTTTATATTGGATATTATCCAGCAGAATTGTTTTCCAATTTGGGTTCAGCAGATAAAGTAGGATTGGGCGGAAGGACATCAACTGCCCCTGGCTCTCCTAGTCCTCCAATGGGATCTGGACATTTTCCTGGAAATTTTTTTCATTCAAGTTTCTTTGACTTGATCTTTGTTCAGAATGCTTCAAGAAGAAATTATGGACCTGAAAAGTATCAAACAGAACACTACCTTGACAAACCTAAATGTTATGGTCTTAAGTATTTTGGTAATCTTCATCAAAACGTAGGATGTGCTCTTCAATTTGGAGGACCTGGTGGTAATTGTGGCGATTGATTGCTTAATATATCATTATAAACTTCAAAATTAAATTTTATTATAATAATGTTTTCAATAATTTATATTTCTACCATTCTTTCTATAAATTTAATAAATTCATAGTTAAAAAAAAATATCGTTCGAGAACACTGGCCACATGAAGAAATGAAATGTTACACAGTGTTAATGTGTAGCACACAATATAAAGTTGGTTCAAAATTAAAGAGCAAAAAATGAATTAAATAGTATGATTTTAGACGAGAGAATTCAAGTGCTTAAATGTATGGCTTACTTTCTTATTTATAACTACAAGGACGTTAAATTTTATATCTAAACCTTTGAAGAGATAATAAAACAACAAAAGATATAATCTCTTTCTCTTTGTTAAACAATTTTCTAAATCATAGAAAATTTATCTTTAATCTTTGGATAAAAAGGTTTAGACCATTCCGAAACCCATAATTATTTTCCATGATTATCTTCTCAAACTCTCAAGTTGGTCCAAGAACGTCATCTCAAATGTTTGGACCGACTTTCGAACATTATTTCCTTCCTCTAGATTTGCCTTTTAGCAATAAAATTATACTATACATACAATAATATTTTCAACATCTGAATTTAATGCAAAATTATCTGATGAATTAATTAATAAATTAATAATTCAATAGATAATTTTAGAACTTGTTTTAAGAAATTAAACTAAGATACTCTCATGTGAATGCTTGAACAGAGAATATATGTTGTTAAAGATTTTACTGTAATATTAATCAAAGACCAATTCCAATGATCTTTTATTGCATTTTTCAATCTTAATTTTTTACGTTGTTAATTTCATGCTTAATTCCAAATTGAAATCATAAATGTTCTCATCAGTAATTGATCTTGATAAATAATTATAATTGAATAACGTAACTCAAATTCCCTTGGGAGAACGATACTCTTTTACTTATTCACTGTATTACTTGTAACGATTTGGTATACTTGCCAAAAAGTTATCAACCACCTGCACAGAAGCTGATTTCTGGTGTGCTCGAGCCGGGCGCCCCAAGAAGGGGGCTGAGCGCGAACGGTGCTGATGTGTCAAAATAGGTTATTTAAACATGAGTCTCACAATTTTTTGGGCACTCTTCTCCTCCTACACTTCATTCTTCTCCTAGAGAGATTGGGAGAGGCCCTTGGAGGGTGTTTGGGGTGTTAGGAAGTTCTCCCACTCCTCCTTGGGTCTTCAAGCTTCATCAATGGTGATTTTTCCCCTTTTGGGTTGAGGAAGAAGATGGGTCATAAATTGGAGATGGAGATGCGAAGGGGAGGCGCAAATGGAGCATGGAGCAACTGCCAAAAACCTTGGGAAAGGCTGTGCATCCTCTCTTTGGTTCCAATTTCTTCCTTATCTCTTCAATTTTGTAGAACCCTAAGTTCTCCACCATGGAGGGCTTTTCCTATTTGTTGAGATTAGTTGTAAAACATGAAATTCTTATGTTTTGTGTGATGTTAATGCTATATGCTTTTCGAATTCATGTTAACATTCGATTTCTATGCTTAATTCTTGCTTTGGATTGATCACCCATGCATGAACTTTGGTTCTTGATGTATTGAGAAATATGAATTGAACCTATAACTGAAATTGAACACCTATTGGATGGAATTGAGATGTTTGTGAATGCATGAGAAAGAAATGGATGAATTCTAGTCTTAACAAATTGTAAATACTCTATGTTAAATTCCTTGCACACAAACTGTTTGATAAAAATACCAAAAAGAGTTTCTTGTGTTTTTTGTACACTTTGATGTCTAATTGAGTTATGGAAGGAAGAGTTGTCATGTGTTGCATAAGTCCCTTGGGACAGAACGATATTTATCACTTGCTACGCTGCGACCGGTACACTTGCCGTTGGTTTTGCAACTAACAGAGCCTCCGGCGCCGGGGATCTAGGCGCTTGGACCGATTAATTTGTCCAAATGGTCAAAGAACGACCACTTGTTGATGGCATCGACGACGATCTTAACCTTCTCCAATTTGTACTTCTTTGCGGTGTCAATCCGATTTTTTCATTCGTTGAATTGCAAGATAGTGTCGAAGGAGATTTTTCATGCATTTGGTTTTCCAAATTAAAGGATATTTTCATATATGTCCTTGCTAAAGAATGTGTTTTTGCCACATCAATTAAGATTTAACGTCGTTCCTACCAACTTAATGGATATGACTGAAGTCATACCATTTTCGTAACATAGGGACCCAATGTCTTCATTTTTAAAACCGGGTACTAAACTGAAAATCAGCTCTTAACATGGGGACAAAGTAAGCATTTAAGCCTTAAATTTATCTACCTTTTTTAAAACCTAATTTTGCAGCCTCTAGCCCCTCACTTTTCTCTTTCTCTAATTACACACAAATCTCACCCCCTCACTTTCTCTCTTCCTCTCTTCTTCACACACACATAGCCCCCACCTCTTCTCTCTTTCTCTTTGTTTATTCTTACCTTGCACATTTTTTTGGTTAAAGCTTCCTTCTTTTTGTTCCTTTTGTAAATGAATGTATGTGGTGTGTTGTGTAAGAGGAGGAAGAAGAAGAAAAACATGAAGACTTGAACGGATTTTTTATATCCGTTCAAGCCTTTCGCGTATCGACTCTTTTAATATTTTTTTTAGTTTATTGAATTTTTTTTTGTAGATTTTAATTTCTGAACATGGTAAATGTTTATTTGTGTAGATTTTACATAATTTAATAATTTTTGTAATATTTTTTCAATAAAAAATTGTTAAAAAATAAAACAAATTGTTCAAAGAGAAAAATGACAGGGTGGGAACTGGAGAATTAGGGTTTTAAAAAAGTGAGGGGATGGGAGATGCGTTGTTCAACAGATCTTGATTTACGTCAACCCTTATAAGAAAAAAACCTTTAACTACAGGACAAAATGAGAATAGAGAGGTGCATAGAGCAACCTGTGATGGTGGAGGAAGTAACTGTCAAAAGCATAGGTAGGTCATTTTCTACTGTTTGGCCCAATCACCCTAAAAAAATAAAAATAAAAAGATTAATAGAAAATTAAAAAAATAAAAATAGAAAATATTATTATCATTATTTTGTTTCTGTTTGCACCCCATATTTCTATCTAAAACTTTCATCCTCTGTTTTCCATTTTTACTACTCCTTCCATAATGGACTAATTGCCCCAACACGTTTTATCCCACTATACCACTTCTTTTAGTTTTTACCACTTTTATCACTATACCACTAATTTTCCATGTAGCCATTTTTACTATTTTCAAATAATAATATCATCTAATAACTCCATACATTGAGATTACTACAGATTTCTACACCTGCCACATCATCTGGACTTTAATTTTAAGTTAATCTTACATAAAGTTTAACTGAGTAAAAATAAATTTGTTACAATGAATTCGACCAATAAACAAGTTTGTCCACGTTGAGTCAAAACTAAAAAGAAACAATAATTCTATTTTCTTTACTAATATTTAACTCTTTCTTAAAAGAATTAGAAATCATAAAATATATACAAATTTACAATCAATTCATCCGGCATTTTTCTTTATTTGTTTTAAGATAAATTAATATATTGAAGTATATGAATATGCTATCATGAAATTTTAATTCAAATTTTCAATACTCAATAAAAGATATATCTTGTTTTTTATTACTATTGTAATTGGAATAATTTATTCACGGCAAGTTTTCAAGTGTTAGTGGGCTCAAATCAAGTCTTGTGAAAAGGAAAAGCTTGTGCTTAGTGTTTCTAAAGTCAAAGCGGTTCTCCTCAAGTTGATTGAGCTGAAGTTTCTTTCATCGTGTGTCGAAGGAAGATGTACCCTGTCTTTAATCGACTGGACGTAAAATCTTTTGATTTAAACCAAGATAAAATCCTTTGTGTTGATTTTATTTAACTCTATCTCTTTAGCATTTAAACTGTTTGATAAAAGTCTTAAAGAACTCATAATTTCTAAAAAGAACCAATTCACCCCTCCCCTCTTGGTTATTGATCGTAACATGCTCTTTAAATCCTTTCCGCTATGCGATACCAATCTCAACATCATTAGTGTCACTTGGAGACTTGTTCAACTCACACAATGGTTGCCCCACCATCACATTCACTAGTAAACTCTCAAAGGTGGTTTATGACTCAAGCCCCAACAATAATTGTCATCGAATATATTATTAGATATTTAAAAAAAATAAGCATAATAATACACGTACCTCAACCAAATTATTGTCATAATTTATAATACACCTTATCATAGAAATTAAATGTAAAATTTAGTTAAATTAATTGATATTCTTTAATCAACAACAACTTCACTATTAGCCAATGAACTCATTCTATGAGATTGTCATTCATGTGGAGATGAGTGTCTATTGTTGGAATTAATGTATAAGCTTTAGTCTTATTCCTCTCAATGACTTAACTACGTGTTGATGCATCAACCTTTTTTTAAGCGGATCTACAATATTTCTTTCTGATATGACAAAGTGAAAAGAAATAATATCATGAGTAATTAAGTTTTTAATAGACTTGTGTCTTAATCTTATGTCTTCTTTTTTATTAACATTTTTGCTATAAATTTTATACATAACAACTTGACTATCATAATGCATTGACATAGGAGGAGTATACTTATTTAATAATGGTAAATAATATAAAAATTTATTAAGAAATCATGTCTCAGTAGTAGTATCTAAAACAATAATCTTTGTTTTCATGGTAGATCATGAAACATTTTGTTGTATATTCTCATGATACTACACCTCCACCCAAAGTAAAAACATAAGAAATAGTTGAATCAAAATCCAATTTGCATTAATATATCCTTCAATAATCTTAAAAAAAATTTACATATTGAATGTTATAACTAAAAGAATCACAAATAATATTATTAATAGAAGGCAAAACAGAGGTATCACAAAATCATTTTAGTCAATTTATTCATTAAAGAAACACCTCTGAATTCCATAATAGTACTGTAAGAAAATTTTACTCAAAATAACCAATATTTTTTTC